GCAGAAATAACACAGTTTGATACTGCTTTAACTGCCATGGCTCAATGCTATGAAATTCTGGGATTTGTAGTTTTGTGAGATATGTCGCCTTCTCTGTTAGAGAGCTCTGGTGCCAACCAAACTACAAATTTCAGGATTTCATAGAATGGAATCATGACAGTTAAAGCGGTGTCAAATTGCATTAATTCTGTAGTGTAGCAGCAGCCTAAGAATGGGATAAAAATCTATCCACTTGACTGTGATCTTTTCCTACTCTTACCTCAAGGGGAGGGGGATTATAGCTAGAAAATAATGAAGTTTCTGCAAGTGATTTTGGCTTGCCACAGATAAACTGGTGCAATGTTATTTACAGTAATAATCTTATACACACTCAGATGAACAAAAAACTATCTAGGCAGCCATGCCAGCATTTGATACATCCAGGTAATAAAGTAAAAAAACAAAACATTAATGCTATTCAGTGGCGGGGCTGGGTGGAAGCTAAGTCTTATTTATTTTGCACATCTTGCATTTTGATGGCTGCAAGAAAATATGCTTTTAATATACAGTTGGCAAACTGAATGACGGGTTAATATAGATGCATGCATACAATCTGCTTATTTAAAGCCCTTTGATTCATATTTACAACTTAAGGAGGATGATTCATTTTTAATAGAAATTTACAGGCAGCCCAAAGTATAGAGGCTGTGCGAGCCAGATTGAAATATATGAGATCTACATGAAAGGAGCATTATGAAATTGGTAAACTTAAGCCATTCTCTTTGCTAAGGGAGGATATTTGTTAAAAAAAAAAATACGCAGATCTGGTAAGACAGCGCACCATGAAATTGTTCAGGCATGCGTGTGCATTCCTTGATTGCTTTAACAACAGAACTTAGAAGTTATTAGCTATAAAAAAACTAGTTACTTGTAGTTAACTCTTTTTGTATGAATGAAGGTATAACTAGGCTGACCATACATACAATTTTAAACAAGACAGAACTTTTTTTTGTATACCCAGACCATTTCATCACTTTAATATAAATGCTAATTTTGTCCTGTCTTCAAGAAAAATGCCCTGTTCCAAAAATGGTTTGAAGATCCCTGTTTGAAACAAAACAAAACATTGGGTCATGGAGTGTGAGACGTTTTATGACAAGGTGCTGAAAGACCAAAATTTGTGGCATAAGATTACTTCATTGGAGAAATTATTCATGGTATGATCACGGTGAAATATAGCGCCCCTCTATATCTACCTAAATATTTGTATGAATTCTGTTGCTGAGGAATGATTGTTAGCAAATATGTTCATATAATAAAAGTTATGCTATTGTCTTACTTTTTCGTAAACATGGAATATTACATAACCCAGTCCCATTTTTGCCACCTCAATGTCCCATTTTTGTCTCAAGTAAATATGGTCAGCCTAGGTATAACTTTACCTCTACCTTTCGGTATAACTACACAACATAATTCATAGAATCATAGAGTTGAAAGAGACAACAAGAGTCCATCCAGTCCAACCCCTGCCATGCAGGAACACAGTATCAAAGCACCCCTGACAGATGGCCATCCAGCCTCTGTTTAAAGACCTCCAAAGAAGGAGACTCCACCACACTCCTAGGGAGTATGTTCCACTGTTGAATGGCTCTTATTGTCAGGAGGTTCTTCCTAATGTTTAGGTGGAATTGCTTTTCCTGTACCTTGTATCCATTGTTCCGGATCTTATTCTCTGGAGCAGCAGAAGACAAGCTTGCTCCATCCTCAAAATGACATCCCTTCAAATACTTAAACAGGGCTATCATATCACCTCTTAACTTTCTCTTCTCCAGGCTAAATATTCCCAGCTCCCTAAGTCTCTCCTCATAGGACATGGCTTCCAGACCCTTCACTATTTTGGTCATCTTCCTTTGGACATGCTCCAGCTTGTCAACATCCTTTTTGAATTGTGGTGCCCAGACCAAAACAGAAAAGAGTGTCACTATTACTTCCATTGATCTAGACCAGGGGTAGGCAACCTAAGGCCCGGGGGCCGGATGCGGCCCAGCAAGGCCTTTGGACCGGCCCCAAACCGGTCCTGCCACCACCGCCCCCCCACCGCCACCGCCCCCCCATGATGATATTGATTATTGTTGTTATTACTTGTTCTTGGGGTTTTCTTGGCAAAATCTTCACAGGGGTTTTGCCATGGCCTTTCTGGGGCTGAGAGAGTGTGCATGCATTTTTTTAAATTTTTAAATTCTTTTTTAATTTTAATTTTTATTTATTTATTTATTTATTTATTTATGGTGCTTCGGCCCGTCAATTGTCTGAGGGACAGCAACCCGGCCCCCGGCTCAAAAAGGTTGCCTACCCCTGATCTAGACACTATACTTCTATTGATGAAGCCTAGAATCGCATTGATATTTTTAGCTGCTGCATCACACTGTTGACTCCTGTTCAACTTGTGGTCT